GTCGTTCAGGAGCTTAAATTTCTTTGCAGAGTATGCAGCTTTCACATTGCAGATCAACTCCTGGTCCATGGGCTGGATTAATGACGTATTGTTGGGAGAGAGGAAGACCAATTTTACGTTGGGGTGACGATCCATAAGTAGTGGCGTGTGTCCTGGTGCGTTGTCAAGGATCAACAGAATGTTGAATGGAACATTCTGTTGCTCGCAGAATTTCTTCACGTCGGGAACGAAACAGTCATCAAACCAGGAGAGTGACAGAGCAGAGAACATCCACGCTTTACGTGCGGTCAGCCAGTGGACATTAATCTTGCTCATGTCCACGTTCTTGTAGGCTTGCGGGCTGTGTGAATCACCGATAACTTGGGTTTACAGGTACCGGAGGCATTGGTGGTAAAGAGGACGGTGATGCGCTCCTTCTGCAACTTCCGGCCCCGAATCTTGCTGGCAGACTGGACAACGAAGATCTTGGAAGGTAGCTTTTTCCAAAAGAGACCGGATTCGTCCATGTCATCGGTGTACTGCCCTTCCTCCATAACCTCATGTAAGAACGGAGGAAAATCTCTAGTCACCGCACGGTCAGCACTCGCTTCTTCACCACCAATGTTGATGTTGGTGATCTTGTTCCTCTTCTTAAACCTATGCAGCCAACCAGAGGAAGCATTGAATGGTTTGGGCTCTGCAATTCCCATCTTACGTGACACTGCTGCATACAGTTCACGGGTGTACTCTTGAACGGATCGTGTGTCCACCGACATGTTGCGTCTCGCCTGACGAATCAAGTAACTCGCCAGCAAATTTTTAACCTTTAGCAGCACCTTGTTCTGGCAATACTTGATCATTGAAGCACCTGCAGACTTTGTGATTCTCATGTGTTCTTTGATCTTGGCTGCATCCTTCTTAATAGTACGAATCGTAGATTCGTTGACTCCATGCTGGCGCGCGAGATCAGCTTGACGTTTTCCTTTCTCCAAATCTTGAATGATTTTGTATTTCACTTTGTAGCTTAGGGAACGTCGTATCTTCTTTGGCTTAGGGCGGCTGGGTCCAAGTAATGCAAGGTTTCTCTCTGGGGGCGGTGGTCCGGCAGAAGCCATTTTACAGAACAATGGATACTGGTTTACACGGTGTGGCCTGGAGGGATACAACTGACGCGGCTAGGTCAAGGGTCGTCTTAACTCCCTCCTGCGGGTGGACACGTCATATTACTTTAAACCAATCACAGCTAGCAGCGGAGGGAGGTAAGGATGCATGGCTCAATCACAGTCCGATACGTCATATGACGTCACTGATAATGCAACAGAGACATGCACCGCGCAACCTTGCCCCGCTGCTTGCCCAGGCGGGAAGGTCGAATCTAAAAATAGCGTCGCGCCAGACACTCTGGCGTATATGGGGAGTGCGTGTATATGGGTAGATGCACTGCGGAAAGTGAAAGTCCGGTTCTGGCGAGGCACCGCGTAAATGAGAAATCGCGGAAAGTGAAACCACGTAAAGCGGGGTAATACTGTATTACCAAAATTTCAGTTTTTTTCATAGAAACTTTTAACTGATTGTCTTCCTTAATTTGTGTACAGTAATAATCCATATTAAAAAAACACTTTCAAAAGTTTTGACCAAAAAACTAGCAAGGAAAAAAATTTATATACATTCTGGCGACTGCACATCTAACCACCACTTATATTTACTTTTATTCTGTAAGTCTGTAACTATTTACATTACAGTTAACCCTCACTTTACGTGGTCCCGCATTCCGCGTTTCCACGTTTACGCGGTGCCTTGCCAGAACCTAACGTGCTCACATTACGCGGTACATGAACCCCATTACGCGGAGAGTGTCCGGCGCGACGCTATTTTTAGATTCGCCCCACCCGCCACCCGCCCGCTTGCCTGCCTGTGCTCCTCGCCTCTCCCTCCTCCTCCCTCCGCTTTGGCAAGCCGCACGGTAAGGTTGCGCAGTGTGTGTCTTTGTTGCGTTATCACTGACGTCATATGACGTATTGCACTGTGATTGGCCATGCATCCCTACCCCCCTCTGCTGCTAGCTGTAATTGGCTTAAAGTATTATGACGTGTCCACCCGGGGGAGGGAGGGAGGGAGGAAAGACGACGCTTGACCTAGCCGCGGCAGTTTCATCCCTCAAGGCCACACCGTGTAAACGTGCATCCATTGTTCCGTAAAATGGCTTCCGCCGGACCACCACCACCCCCAGAGAGAAACCTTTCCTTACCTGGACCCAGCGGCACTAAGCCAAAGAAGACACAACGTTCCTTAAGCTACGAGGTGAAGTATACCATCATCCAAGAGTTGGAGAAAGGAGCAAGGCAGGTTGATTTGGCGCGCCAGCGTGGTGTGAATGAATCTACGATTCTAACAATAAAGAAGGATGCAGCCAAGATAAAGGAGCACATGAAGATCACAAAGTCTACAGGTGCTTCTATGATCAAGTATTTTCACAACCAGGTGCTTCTCAAGACAGAAAAATTACTTGTGAGGTACTTGGTGCGTCAGGCGCGACGGAACATGGCGGTCAACACGCGCTCTGTTAAGGACTACGCACGTGAACTGTACATGGCAGTGGCACGAAAGATGGGAATTACAGAGCCCAAACCCTTTAATGCTTCCTCTGGGTGGTTACAGAGGTTTAAGATCCGGAACAAGATCACCAATATAAACATTGGTGGTGAAGAAGCAAGTGCTGACCGTGCTGCGGCTGGGGAATTTCCTCCGTTTTTACGTGAAATTATGGAGGAAGGACAGTACAGTGACGACTAGGTGTTTAACATGGACGAATCTGGTCTTTTCTGGAAAAAGCTACCTTCCAAGTCCTTCGTTGTAAAGAATGCCAGCAGGATTCGGGGCCGGAAGATGCAGAAGGAACGCATCACCGTCCTGTTTACCACCAATGCCTCTGGTACCTGTAAGCTCAAGTTATCGGTGATCCACACAGCACGCAAGCCGCACGCCTACAAAACCATGGACATGACCAAGCTAAATGTCCACTGGCTGACCGCACGTAAGGCGTGGATGTTCTCTACACTGTCCCTCTCCTGGTTTGATGACTGTTTTGTTCCCGATGTAAAGAAATTCTGTGAGCGACAGAATGTGCCATTCAATATTTTGTTGCTGCTGGACAACGCACCAGGACACTCGCCCCTACTGTTAGATCGTCACCCCAACGTAAAAGTGGTCTTCCTTCCTCCCAACACTACGTCTATATTACAGCCCATGGACCAAGAGTTAATCTGTAATGTAAAAGCTGCATTCTCAACAAAAAAATTCAAACTCCTGAACGACTACACCAACACCAGGGAAGAGTTGCGTAACCTGAGTGACACCACCACCGATAGCAAGAGCGAAGAAGATGAGGATCAACAGTTGGCACAGCAAAAAATACTGTTCAAACAATTCTGGAGAGTATTTAACATCAAGAAAACTGTGGACTTCTTGGTGGAGTCATGGGATCAGCTGTCTATTGCTACAATTCGTCACGCATGGAGACATGTGTTGCATGGAATACCAGGTGAGAGGAGGAGTCAATCTGTGACTGGTGAGGTTGAGAATGTTGCAGTAGCAGTGGACCTTGCCAGAGAAGCTGCGCAGACTGTTACAGTTCCAGGCTTCTCCGAGACCACCAACGACGACATCCTGGAGGTGATCAGAGATCCTGAAGTGACTGCCGACGAGATGTTGGAAGAAGATCACGTCAGTGAAGAGGAGGAAGAAGGTGCGTCATTCTCCGAAGAACACAGTTTAACTCATAGTGATATTAAGGGTGCCATGGAGTGTGCAGAGAAAATGAAGTCCTTCCTTTCCTGCAACAATGACGATGACCTCTATGAAGTCTTCCATACCCGTCTGGTGCAGGCTATGGAGCCATACATCACGGTGTATCACGACAACATAAACATCAGCCGTCAAAAAAGCATAACCGAGTTCTTCGCCCGCAACCCACCACAGCCAGCCCAAGCCAGTGATAGTGACAGTGAAGATGACTTTGAGGGATTTGTCAGGGAAGCCCTGACAACTGTAAGTGACAGTGATGGTGCTTCACCTAGTAATGGTGATTCACCTGAGGGCCAGTAATCTGCCCTCTGCCTCGGAACCAGCCTCCATCCCCGTATGCCGACCCATCTCTTCTACTACCGTAAGTGTTCCACCTAAGTTTTAGTTTTTCTAACCTAACCTTTATTTTTCCTATGTTAACCTTTATTTTTCCTAACCTAACCTCTTCTATATTACTTGTTTTTTCATACCATCATAAAGTTAAGATAAAATTTTTACTACAACGTAGTTGTGTGTCGTCAAAAAGTGGAGTTTGGGGGTCGGCCCGGACTCCATTTCAATTAATCCCATATGTTATGTTATTTCACTTTACGCGTTTCTCACTTTACGCGGGACCCTCTGGGTTACATTAACCGCGTAAAGTGAGGGTTAACTGTATCTTTTTTCTTATTACACCATCATCTCATCTTCCTCGTGATTTACTCCTTCTTTCCATATGCATTTTATACTGACTGTTCCAATGATATGGGTATAGCGTGAAGAGGAATCAACAGTAAACTCTCACTTTTCACTTATACTCGCCAAAATGACTTTTATTTTTTATTTATTTATGGGGGGTTCATAATTCATTTTTTTTTTTTGAGAAGGAATCATTTGAATAAATATTTGACAATATCTTAGTCACGAATAGCGCTCGGGAAAAAATATCTTCTCGAATAATGGTCATTCTGCGGGCTCCAAACAGAGCGAGTGACAGGATCTTTAAATAAATTTCAGGCGATCTTGAGTGTTAACCAGTCTTACCATACCAGTTAAACAGTTTTACTGTACCAGTTAACCATTCTTACCATACTAGTTATCCATTTTTACCATACTAGTTAATCAGTCTTATCATACCAGTTAACCTGTCTTAACATATTAGTTTCTTTTTAGTGTAAGTGTACCATAATTATTTTTGTATAATTAACAAATAATCATATCATCTATTTGATCTACAGATACAACGCAGAGGTGGACAAGTTAGAACCCAGTGTTGCTGAGTTTAAGGCAAAGGAAATAAAAAAACCTATTCTTGTTTTCCTTCGGCTCCTAACAACTGTGGGTCTTGTAAATTTTCAAGAAGGGTTGGGGGAGGATGGGGAGATGTGCTGTTTAAATAATCTAACTCTTATTAACCTTACTTTACTTAAGCTTGGTCCTCAACATGAGGGCACCCTCACTACCAGATTACTCATGCTACAGGTTCTATGTTCTGGCCTTGCATTTTTCATACGTTACCCATTAGCTGACATGTTTTTTTGAAGTAAGGTTAACATATACAGTACTGTACTGGGCACCACACATTGAGTAAATAAATGACTTACCTGTATGCTGTTGCTATTTTTGTTACCTTCCAATTTTTCTTTCAGCACCTCTTATTTATATACAGTAGAACATTGATATAATGCGAGATACGTTCCAAGAGAGGTTGCTTTAAACCGAATTTGATTTAAATTGAAGTGTTGTTTCAGTGGAATAATTTAGTTTGGTACTTGAGAGAAACACAAAATACTAAAAAGACTGAGAGTCTACCCAGATGCACCTCAGCCCACCTCCTAGAATAAACAAAACATTGTTTTTTGTAGTATTATGTTGAAACAGACACTCATAAATCAACACAGCTAAAATTATGGGACATGAAATTGTCGTTTACTAGCTATCAGCTGATGGGAAGATGGGGGGGGGGTGATATATTTGACAGTTGATGCCAAGGTCTAGTGCTTATTTATTTATCTGCCCTTAAGAGTGACTTTTAAGTTTTTCTCGTATAAAATGTCACAGAACTGACATGTTCTAATTAATTTTATTACGAAGGGCTAAAATTTTTATCGTGCAAAATATATGACGTTTATATTCAAATTATTTGCTGTCTTGCAAGGATTCTAGCAATACAAATTATATTCTCCTGTGATATTATATAAGATAAAAACTGTAAGCCTATAACCACTCAACCCTGGCTGGGAAGATGGGGGGGGGGTGTTACAGTGACATGTTTGACAGTTGGCGCCGAAGGTCAGTGAAGTATTTATTTGTTTATTTATGTCCTTTAGATTGAGTTTTTGTCTTTTGTTTATAAAATTTCATAGAATTGACCGGGGAGAATATAATTTACATTGCTGGAATTCTTATGAGATAGTGATTAATTTGAATATAATCATGCTATAGTTTGCACTAGACAAAAATTTTAGTAATCATTTAGTACATGTACAGAACAGCTTCCCCCTTAGAACAGTGTAGCTTGCCCAGAGGAACATTAGGCACGAATTTTAAAATATGATGCACCAGATTGACTCCCGCAAAATAGGAAAGATTCGCTTTAAATTAAAATATTGTCCTTAATTTTGGGTGTCACTTTAAATCAATAATCTTAAATTGAATCACTTTAAATCGACGTGCTACTATAATTGTATTGGAAGTGATAAGATTGTTCATTCATTAATATTTCTCTGGATGTTTGTAATTGTTAAGTCTAATTGTGCAGATATACCCAGATAACTGACGCATATACAGACTGTGAAAAATCCACGCATAGTGATTCAGTGGTTTTCGAAGTAATTAATCCCATAAGAATATAACAAATTTGGGGGGTTAGGGACCAGCCACCACCAGAAAATTTCCATCCACCCTTGATATATCTGTCGTTCAGACTGTCAAGCAAGAAAAAAAACAGACATATAAAGCAAGCATAATAAGCATTAATTAAGTAATGTAAGCATAAATTTAGACTGTTATTCATCAGTGGTGAAGCAATGAATTCACATTAAGTCATCATTCCTCCTCTCAGCCAGCCCCTCTGACTGAATGGCTGGCTGATGCTTTGGCCATTGTTTCTGCCATTAAGAGTTTTAAAAGATACTTTATCCCCACATTTTTCTGAAACAATTACAGGTTAGTGGAAATTTTTGAAGGCTTACAGAAAATTTTTAGATTCAGCAGGCCTGCCAACACATGTATTCCCTTACTATGTTGATGTCCTATGCCTGTAAACCTGTTCTATATGGTTACTGGAGAAATACAGCCATCTGCAGACATAATAGCTTTTCTCATAATGAATTTTTTTGTTAGGTTACTATGTTTTGGGAGGAAGGAGGGGGAGAATGATAAAATGAGACGTCACCTTCCATACAACGTGACCTTTCATTCTCAAGTCAAAATATATATTATACATATATTAATAGTTTTCTTTTATTGAAGAATTTTTATTATTTATGATGATTCGTATGCCATAAGAGGCTGTTTATAGTACGTAGAATATAATAATTATGAATCAATAATACAGTGGTCCCTCGGTTAACGAACGGTTCGATTAACAAAATTTTGGTTAAAGAATTAGCTCTCATAAGAATCTTCAGTTCGGTTAACGAACAAAACTTCGATTAACGATATTCTTACGACAAACACGTTTCGTTGTGAGCATCAGCTGATTGGCTAGTCCGCCAATACAGTAATCTGTTCTATGTTTACACTCGTTTCCAGTGGAGTAAATATCAAGAAGATTGTGTTCTTGAATATTTTTGCATTTTGTATATTAAAATTATTGGTCATTCTAAAATTTAGCCATCCAAGCTCTGTATACATAAAGTTTTTCAACTAATATTTTTTGGCTCAAATATGTAACTTTTTTCATTTATTGAAATTCATTTACATGCACACACTGTCCTAAGGGCATAGCTATACTGTACATTTAATCAAAATAATGTACAAAATGATTACTAAAATTTTTGTCTAGTGCAAACTATAGCATGTTTACATTCATAATTAATCACTATCTTATAAGATATCCAGCAATGTAAATTATATTCTCCCCGGTCACTTCTATGACATTTAATAAGTAAAAAAACAAAAATCAATCTAAAGGACATAAATAAACAAATAAATACTTCACTAGACCTTCGGACCCAACTGTCAAACATGTCACTGTCACTTCCCCTTCCTCCCCCCCTCCTTCCCCCTCCCAGCCAGGGTTTGGTGGTTATACAGTAGGCTTTAAGTTTTTATCTTATATAATATCACAGACTAAAGGTAGGAGAATATAATTTACATTGCTGGAATCCTTGCAAGACAGTGAATAATTTGAATATAAACGTCATATCTTTTGCACAAGAGATAAATATATTAGTACACTAGTGTAGTACAATTTAAAAATGTACAGATTTTGAACTGTATTTTTGGGTAGATTTACATAAATTTCTTCTTTTATTTTTATTCATTTACATGCACACACCATACTAAAAGAAACGTAAAAGAAATAAATGACCTAAGTGAAAACCTGTACTGTACATGTATTAAATGATTACGGTACTAAGATTTTTATGCCTAGTGCAAATTATAGCTTGTTTATATTCAAATTAATCACTATCAAACCAGAATCCCAGCAATGTAAATTATATTCTCCCAGGTCATTTCAGTGGCATCTTATAAGACAAAAGTTTAGTCACTCTTGTAATGGGGGGATTTAGAGGTAGAAAGTATAGATAGAATATTTAGTTGTAGGATGTAAACTTGTAAAGAGAGGAAGTTTGGTGGCGTGGCCGGTTAGTTATTTAACTGCATATACGTTCTTAGGGGAAATCTTCTAAACCACCAATTCTAAGTACTGTATTCACTGTCTTGCAAGGGTTCTAGCAATGCAAATTATATTCTAACTTTAGTCTGTGATCGTATATAAGATAAAAACTGTAAGCCTATAACCACCCAACCCTTGCTGGGAAGATGGCGGGAGGGGAGATGAATATTGGCCTAAAATTGGCGGGAACTCTCAAGTGGCGGGAAACTCATGACATTGTTACATCACAGCCAGGGAGAAGGCAATTTAGGCTAAAGGTTTTTATCATATGAAATTTCGCAAACTAGACTTAACAGAATGTAAATTGCATTGCTGGAATCCTTGTCATATGGTGATTAATTTGAGTATAAACATCACATAGTTTGCAGAAGAGATAAAAAAAATTATAGTGTAGTACAGTACATTTGAGTACAAAGTGTGTACAGTAATGTTGCTCAAAATTATGGCTTTTTCACGTTTAATTTACAATTAATATTTGTTTAATTTCACTTTCTAGCAGTCCATGGTGCATTAGAAACACGGAGGTGTATCATTAGTGAGTCAGAGGTGTATTGTTGAATGATTATTTCCTGACCTCGGTTGGCCCGGCAAAACGGATAATCCAGCAAGGCTTTGGAACTAAGGGTGCTGGAAAATTGGTGGTGTACCTTTACTATATGAGTGTAATCACTTGACCGATTATTTTATTCCTGTATGCCAACTCACTCTCTGTGTTGGATATTGAATGGCGGTGGGCGAAGATACGCATGCCAGCCCTCCCGAGACATCACGAGTTGTACGTAAAATTTCGGAAGTCATCGGACCCACCCTGTCAGATACTTTCTTTAGCTACTGTACATTTGGGGAAAGTAATTTCACTACATCTTCAAGTTACTTATCTGATAAAGCTATCAATGCTAACTTATAATGAAGATAATTTGCATTACATCAGTTGCATAGATAAATCATGTACAGGTGTACCCCGATTTACGCGGTCAAAAGAACCCACAGGGTACCGCGTTAAGTGAAATCCGCGTAAATGGAACAACAGAACATATGGGATTAATTCCAATAGAGACTGGCCCGACCCCCAAACTCCAATTTTTGACGACACACAACTCTGTTGTAGTAAAAATTTTATCTTAACTTTATGATCGTATGCACAAACAAGTATATAGAAGAGGTTAGGTTAGGAAAAATAAAGGTTAAGTTAGGAAAAATAAAGGTTAGGTTAGGGAAACTAAAAGTTAGGTGTAACACTTACATTAGAAGAAGAGATGGGTCGGCATACGGGGATGGAGGCTGGTTCCGAGGCAGAGGGCAGATTACTGGCCCTCAGGTGAATCACCATTACTAGGTGCATCACCATCACTATCAGTTACAGTTGTCAGGGCTTCCCTGACAAATCCCTCAAAGTCACCTTCATTGTCACTATCACTGGCTGGCTGTGGTGGGTTGCGGGCGAAGAACTCGGTAATGCTTTTTTGACGGCTAGTGTTGATGTTGTCTTGATACACCTTGATGTACGGCTCCATAGCCTGCACCAGCCGGGTATGGAAGACTTCATAGCGGTCATCGTCATTGTCGTTGGAAAGGAAGAGCTTCAATTTTTCTGCACACTCGATGGCACCCTTAATATGACTATGCGTTAACTTGTGTTCTTCAGAGATTGAACCAGTATCTTCCTCTTCACTGACGTGATCATCTTCCAACATCTCGTCGGCAGTCATTTCAGGATCTCTGATCACCTCCAGGATGTCTTCGTCGGTGGTCTCGGAGAAGCC